GGCTTTTGGTAAAATCACCAGCATCACTCCAGACTTAGAATTCTCGATTAAGCCTGCTAAATTCGGCTTAGATCAACATTTATCCATTAGAATAAGGGGCTCTAATGATTTGCCTATCCAGTTTTGCTTTTTAATTATTGTTTGTTCCACCCGTAGTTTGCTTAGTTGAGTACAATCCTTTGAAATTAAAATCGAGGTGTGCCGTGCCGAACAAAAATCTCAATTGCATGGCCCTCGCTTTATTTAATTTTGAATTGATCCTTAGATTCCGAGGTGTGCCATTTAGCAAATTTCATGGCCCCCGCAAAGTGCAAACGCGTAGTTGCTTTAGGCGCGTGTTTAATAATATTACTTTCCTAAATTCGGGTGCGCATTTATGTGACCCAAATCCAAATCTCAATGATGTTAAAATATGTCAAAAATCACGGGTGCATTTATGTGACGTGGTTCGAGACGTGTTTTAACGACGTTGCAATTCTCTTTAATAATAAAAATAAATAATAAAAGCGATTTAAATTTAAAAAGCACATAAGTTAAAACATGTATTAAAATCAGATTTTTAGCCATTTATAATAATTTAAGCGACCGTGCTAGAACCACGGGATCCGGGGGTGCCTAACACCTTCCCTCGGGTCAACAGAATTCCTTATTCAGAATTTCTGGTTCGCAGACTCCAATTGGGAAGTCAAAATTTTTCCACGATTTGGGATTTAAATTAAATCGGTGACTTGGGACACCAAAAGCTATCCTATCCCAAGTGGCGACTCTAATAATCAATAAATAATCCCATTTCGAATAATGTCACTTTAAATAGAAAAACTCCCTTATACATTTATCCTTCGGGGTAGGTGTGTAAAAAAAGGAGGTGTGACAGTAGGCACGGATGTACTTTGTTGCTTGTGGCAGAGGATGTTTGAATTTACTGATATTACGCTTCTCCAATGTTCTAATATTTGCTGCCTATAAATTCGTTTCTTCAAATTTTCAAGCATTATGGGTGTGTGTGGTACGAAGGAAAATGCTTTCATGAAAAATGAGTGATTTTATCACTTATTTTTTCTTGTTTGGTTAATGAGTGGAAAAGAAAATTCGAATTTTTTTTCTAGTATTTGGTTAGAGAGTGGAAAATATTTTTTTATGCTACTCCCCTCATCCCCCTTCCCCAAGTCCACATGTTTCCTTGCCTCCTCCCCCCCCCCCCTCTCCTCCCCTCTCCCCTCTTTAAATACCCAACATTTTCAGCACTCGATTTTCTCAAGAATTTAATCATTCTTCTAAAAATTCACACAAACCCAAAGAAACTAATGTGTTGCTTTACTTTTTTACGCAAAATCAACATTGAAATTCAATCCATAACTAAAAACAAAATACTCTTTTTTGGTTGAAAAAGAAAGTACTTTTGCTACAACGTGAAAATAAAGTACCAATTTGATTGAAATAAAATAAAATACTTTTTATACATCATAAAAAGAAAAAATACACATTTTGTTAAAATGAAAGAAAATACTTTTTCTACATCATGAAAAGAAAAAACTCTTTTTGTTGAAATGAAAGAAAATATTTTTTTCTACATCATGAAAAGAAAGTACTTTTTTGGTTAAAATAAAAATATACTCATTTGTTGAAATGTAAAAAGATCTATTTATAACATGAATAGAAAATACTATTAATAATATTTTTATTTAGGGTGGAGGTGAGGGGGTGGGGCGAGGGTGAGGGAGGGAGTGGGGTTGGGGTTGGGGTGGGGATAGTATGGATGGGGGTGGTAGGTGGGGGCGGGGTGGGTTGGTGGGTGAAAGTACAAGAGGGGAGGTGAATTGTGGTATATTAAAAAATAGTTGACTAACGATGATTTTAGTTGACTAGATTTCGTGCAGAATGAGAAATAACAGTAAATAGAAAGAGAATGACACACATCAGTTTTTACACTGGTTCGGTACCGGTGTGGTACTTACTTCCAGTTTCCCTTGGGTCACAAGGGTTCTCTTAGATCTTGAATGTAATTACAACAAGGATGGTTTTAGTTCGTTCACCATCAAAGAAGTATAGCAATAATGTATCTTGAATAATGACACAACTCTCTTTTGCGTTCCGACTCTTCCTATCTTTTCTGACACTGATAAACTGAGGAATACAGTGTTTAGGCTAAGAAGTAGAGAGATTTAGAAAGCAATGTTTGTAGTTGCGCAAAACTTCCATTTGATCTTAGCAGACTTCTTATAGGAGAGTTGAGAGCCGTTGAACCTTGACTAAGTTAGAGGCACAGGATCTTCAAAGGGATTTGACCCAAGGGGCACCTCTCGAATCCTACTCTTGGGAAGAGCCAGATTCGTTCATGACTTTCCTTGTCATGATCTTACATTGTGGAGAAATTCGAGCCTTCGATTGAGCTAATTGAGGATACCGAATATTTGCTGAAAATATCTCCTTGATTTGTAGTCTTGATTTCCTTCGATTAAGGCTGAAAGGATATGATAGATTTGGATTCCTTTTTCTTTGTAGTCTTGATTTCCTTCGATTAAGGCTAAAAGGATATGATAGATTTGGATTTCTTTTTCTTGTCCATTAATTCAGCAACACATCTTTGGACAACTTCTCATTAGTTTTCTTTCCTTTTGTTGATTCCTGATTTCTGCAAAACAAGGTAACTAAATTTGTCATCATTGAAACTTAGATTTTGACTTAACAATCTCCCCCTTTTTGATGATGACAATCAAAAGAGTAAACATATCATAATTATGTAGACTTCCCTTTTATTTCACCCTCTATGGTGCTCCCCTTGAGTTGATGCTATCTCCCCTTGAGTGAGTGTTGTCTCTCCTGGGTGGTAGTTTTACTTCTCTACTGTTCTTCCCCCTTGACATCAATCAAAAAGGGAAAGAAAACAAACAAGACAAGTAATATAGGAAGTAATATACATAATAACTATCGAGATAGTGCAGCAAAAGTAATGCCTTCAGCAGAGGCATAGCTTATACAGACCCAAGGAAAAAAAATAATTTGTTACAACCACCAGCAAGAAAGCAAGAGTGAAAATAAAAATAAGAGAAGATATTGTTTTTAACACCATCGCACAAATACGCATTAGCTTCTTCCCAGGAAGTACTTGAGAGTGTTGATCACTTTGGTGCAGTAGGAGTCATAGGAACTTTCGACATCTTTGACAAGCTTATCCATCTTTTCACTCATAGAATTGAATGCCTTGGTTCCTTGTCTCCGCGTAGCTCCTATATCCATTCTGATCTTAGCCATATTTGTACATGTCTGCTTAGTGACTTCCCTGATCTTATATACTTGTTCCTTCATCTCAAGTACTAGCAGTTTTACCCCATCTATATATTGCTGAATCTGCTGAAGATTTTGAGAGGCAGTCGACCGAGATGCTGGTTTTTCAGTTTGAACTTCAACTGGCACTGGAATGCTTTCAACTTTGGCGCGCTTAACCCATCCATCATCACCCAAGGTGTACCCCATCATTGAAAAAAAAGTCTTATCATAAGTGCTGGTAATGTGCTTGGGCGTAAAGGGTGCCAAGTCTACCTTCATAACTTCGAGGATGTGTGAGATGAGGAGACCATATGGTAACAGGCAGCAGAGGAAGATATGTCCCTAATACTATCAAGCATGTATTGGCGGATCCACACAAACCAATCCAGTCTTTTATTATTAACAAGACAGTAAAGGACAAAAACATCTCTAGTGGATAAAGTGCTAAGGGACCTAGTTCTAGGGAGTAAAGTAGTAGCAATCATGTGGGCCAAGACATGGTGTTCAAACTTTAGATTCTTGGGGCCAATATCATGACGGTTATCAAATAAAAAGGGTTTTGCCTCTTCAAAGGAGACTTCAAAATCTTTTGGCCAACAATTTTGCACAAAAACATCAAACCCACTAAACTTAGCAGAGAAAATCTTTTCAAATTGATAAGAATCCAGAACAATTCGAGTGCCTAACACCATAGATTCCAAATCATCCTTGTCATTCACAAACAATTTTGCATAAAACATCCTCACTGGTTCCTCATAAATAGAGTTTCCAACAGTATCAAACAGAGAAGAAAGATGCTAAAAATCAAATATAGCGGTCACTTCACAGTGCAGATTTTTCATAAGAGAAAGACTTACAGAGCTTCCATAAGCCATAGATTATGACTTGTGTGACTCATACCTTGTTTTTCACTCGGGCCATAAAAGATCAACTTGTCCTCAGGTCCGAATTCAGTGTTCTCCACCTTTCCTTTCTTGCATGCAGACTTTTTGGGGGTTTGCTCCATAGAACTTTTGCCTGCCCTTTTCTGGCTAAAGGGAAGATTTTTGGAAGATTTGCTACTCCCATTGTCTGTTTTGAGGAAATCTGAGTCAGTGTATGACTCCAAGTCTACAGGTTCTTCAGGGTTAAGGGGCTTTTGAAATCTTCTGCTGCGTCTAGTTGCACTGGAAGAAGAAGGGTTTCTTTTTGCCATGGTGAGAGTGTTGGCTTTGATGAGAATGAGGAGAGTAACAAGGAAGAAATGATTTTTATCAGAGCTTTAGGAGGATTGAAGGGTCGCCTTGGCTAAAGGAAAGGGCGGGTTCAGAAAGGAAATGATGTTTCTGAAGTGATGGATCGTCGGTACTGATGGAGACGCAATAATTACACTTACAAGTAATTAAAGTTAAGCACACATAATAAAGGAAATAAAATATTTTAGAAGAAAGTAAAAGATTTGTTTTACAAATTTGGCACAATTCCAACCATTTTTCGGAGAAAAGAAAATCTTTCTTCAAAAAGAGGTTTTGTAAAAATATCAGGAAGTTGAGAACCAGTACTAATGAATTCTAAAACAATATCGACTTTAGCAACACGATCACGGATAAAATGATGCTTAATTTCTATATGCTTGCCCTAGAATGATGCACAGAATTTTTTGAGAAACAAATAGCACTGGTATTATCACAAAGTATAAGAATAGAGGTAAGAGATAAATCATAGTCGAGAAGTTGATGCATTATCCACAGAAATTATGTACAACAGCTTCCAACAGCTAAATATTCTGCTTCAGTTGTTGATAGGGCAACACAATTTTGTTTCTTACTATGCCAAGATACTAGTGCATTTCCCGAAAGTTGACACATGCCACTGGTGCTTTGTCTGTTAATCTTGTCACCTATAAAATCTGCATTTGAAAATCCTCTTAAGGAAAAATTGTTAGAATGATCATACCATAATCCTAGCTTAGAGGTACCAATAAGGTATCTAATAATACGTTTAACAGTAGTGAGATGGGATTCTTTAGGAGCCGACTGAAATCTTGCACACTTGCAGACACTGAAAATAATATATGGTCGAATAGCAGTGAGATATAATAAGAAACCAATCATCCCTCTACACATGGTTTCATCAACATTCTTTCCATTGTTGTCTTCATCGAGCATCGTTGTTGGACTCATTGGAGTACCGATTGACTTAGCATTCTCCATGCCAAACTTATTTATAAGTTCCTTAGTATACTTGGTTTGGCTAATGAAAATCCCTCTAGGGGACTGTTTGATTTGAAGTCCGAGAATGAACGTTAATTCTCTCATCATGCTCATTTCAAATTCTCCTTTCATAGAAAGAGCAAATTCTTCACATAAAACAGAGTTAGGACTACCAAAAATAATATCAACAACATAAATTTTAGTAATAAGATTACCTGAACTAGAATGCTTAATAAACAAAGTCGTATCGATATTACCTCATTTGAAACCTTGATTTAGAAGAAAAGAGCTTAACCTTTCATACCAGGCACGAGGAGCTTGTTTGAGACCGTACAAAGCTTTAGTCAGCTTATATACATTATAAGGGAAAGTGACGTTTGCAAATCTTGGTGGTTGCTTCAACATATACTTCTTCAGAGATATAGCCATTTAGGAACGCACTTTTAACATCCATTTGAAATAGCTTGAATCCTTTGTGAGCAGCAAAAGCAAGTAGTATTTGTATGGATTCGAGTCTTGATAGAGGTGCAAAGGTTTCATCATAGTCGATTCCTTCTTGCTGAGAGTATCCTTGAGCAACCAGCCTTGCTTTATTTCGAACCACTTGACCAGAATCATTCAATTTATTTCAAAATATCCACTTAGTCCCTATGACGGAGGAATTTGAAGGTCTTTGAACCAATTCCTATACTTTATTTCTTTCAAACTGATCAAGTTCCTATTTCATAGCCTTTATCCAGTGAGTATCTTTCAGAGCTTCATCTACTTTCTTTGGTTCAAGTTGAGAAATAAGAGCCACATGTGATTTGTTCTTCTGAGATCTTCTGGTAGTGATTCCTTCTCGTGGATCTCCTATAATGAATTTGTGAGGGTAGCCAGGTTCACTTTTCCATTCATTTGGAGTGTTTGAGGAAGGTTCTCTTTCCATATTAGTCGACTGATCTGTTTGAGATGGTTCATGATTTTCTACAGGCTCTTCAGCTGGTTGAGTCTGCTGATCAGCTCACTCACTTTGATGATCCTTTCCTACAATAAAAGATTTAGGTACAAAATGGATTTCCTCATTTTCAGGAAGTTTTTCATTCCTTGGGTGAGGGTTAGTATCAACAAAAACAACATGAATTGATTCTTCAATGCATAATGTTATTTTATTATAAACTCTACATGCTCTACTTGAAGGAGGGTATCCAAGAAACATACCTTCATCACTTTTAGGATCAAACTTACCCAAATTGTCCTTTCCATTGTTGCAAATAAAGCATTTGCATCCAAACGGGTGAAAATAGCTAATATTGGGTTTCTTACCATTCCATAGTTCATACGGAGTCTTTTTGAGGATTGGTCGAATCAAACACCTGTTGATGATATGGCATGCTGTGCTCACAGCTTCTGCCCAGAAATGGTGAGGTAGAGAATTTTCCACAATCATGGTTCTTGCCATGTCCTGTAAAGTTCTATTTTTACGCTCTACCACTCGATTTTGTTGCGGTGATCTTGGTGAAGAGAAGTTGTGAGAGATTTCTTGATCGTTGCAAAAAATTTCAAAAGCTCTGCTTTCAAATTCTCCTCCATGATCACTTCTGATAGAAGAAATGTAGTATCTCTTTTCTCGTTGAACCTTCTTACAGAAAACTTCAAAATTCTTTAGAGCATCATCTTTATGACTTAAAAACATAACCCAGGTAAATTTAGAGAAATCATCCACAACGACAAAAGCATATCTCCTACCACCGATGCTAGCAGTTCTAGTTGGACCAAATAAATCCATATGCAATAGTTGGAGAGGTTTGGAGGTGGAAACAATGTTTTTGATTTTGAAAGATGAGCGAGTTTCTTTTTCCTAGTTGGCATGCATCACAAATATGATCCTTTGAAAAATCTTGTTTTGGAAGTCCAATAACGAGGTCATGTTTGGAAAGCTTTTGAACAGTATGCATGCTGGCATGATCAAGTTTTCTATGCCAGACCCAGGGATCATCAATCATGGAAGCAAGACAAATTTGATCCCCAAGATTATCTAAATTGCTAATAGTATAGACATTTCTATCTCTATTACCTGAAAGAATGACTTTACCTGATTCATCTTCTATAAGCTAACCATGTTTCTTAAAACGAAACTCATAGTCATTTTCACATAGTTTACTAACGTTGAGAAGATTGTAGCCGATTTCATCAACCAGGTAGACTTCATCTACATCACATGTTGAGCTCAGAGGAACTTTTCCAACACCAATTACATTTCCTTTGGATTTGTCTCCAAAGGTAACTGTTCCTCCATCTAGTTTGGTGACTGTCTTGAACAATTGTTTGTCACCAGTCATATGTTTGGAACACGCGCTATCGAGATACCATTTTCCTTTTCGATTCTTCTTGCGGTGTTCCTGCAAAACAAAATTACTTATTTTTAGGTACCCAAGCCTGCTTGGGTCCTGAATGGTTAGAATGCTGAGTGTTAGTTTGATTTGAAGATTTTGGTCGCCAGACCCATCTCCTGTTATCCTTGAACCTGCAACGATTTGAGGTGTGACCCCTTTTACCATAATAAAAACATAATGGACTATTATAATTTTCAGAGTCTTTTTCTGCTCTGATTTTGTTCCTACATTGGTTAGTACTATGGCCATTTTTACCACAAAAGGAACAGGCATGAGATTTCTTCTGTTTGTGATGAACAGTCTGATTTGATTTGATCGAACTATGACTAGTGGATTTTTGCAATCCATTCAATTGAAGTTGAAGTTCATTAACTTCTTCTTGTAGCATATCACGCTCAATTTCACAAACTTCTAGCTTCAAGGCCCAATCTTTCTTTTCTCTTTAGATCTTTCTGAGTTTATTTAGAACTCTTTCAATATCTGCAAGAGCAATATCAACAAATTCTTGAAGTTCATAACTGTTAGGACAAGTAGGGGGACATACTCGTCTGCCATAAGACCAAATTCACCTGAGTCTTCTTCCTCATCTGCTCCTTTGTTTCCTGTGAATCCATGCTCTCCTGATTCCTCATTGCTATCATCTTCTATGGCCATGAAACACATATTTGCAATTTCTTCATGGTCAGATTCTTCTTCATCACTCCAGGCTCCAAAAGACTTCTTCTTTTGAAGGTTCCTACTGAGCTTCTTCTTTAGTTCAGGACAATCAGCTTGAATGTGTCTGTGTTTTCCACATTCGTAGCATTTTCCATCATTTTCATTATTTGTTCTTCCCTTTCTGAAGTTTGGTTTACCTCTTCTGCTATTTCTATTTTTCCTCATCATGCTTGTTACAACTTGAGAGAGCATGGCTATGTTTTCATCTTGTTCTCCTCCTTCCTCTTTTTCTTCATCTTCTGGTTCAGCCACAGTTGTTTTGAAGGCAACTATTTTTTTTCTTTTCTTGTTGAGTTTGTCTATCCAAGTGAGTTTTCTCAAAGGCTATTAAGTCACCTCTGAGTTCGTCATAGGACATTTTGTCAAGATCCTGACATTCGAGAGCAATGACCTTTGGCTGCCAAATCGTAGGTAGACTTCTGAGAATTTTTCTGACTTGTTCTCCGCTTTTTATTGTTCTACCAAAGGATTTGAGATCTCCAAGAATTTTGCTGAACCTGGAGAACATTTCTTCAGCAGATTCTCCATCCTTCATTTGAAATAGCTCATACTCACGAACCAAAAGATTTATCCTTGTTTCTTTTACCTTGTTGGTTCCTTTATATGTGAATTCCAATTTATGCCACATTTCCTTAGCAGTTTCACAGCTTGAGATCTTTTCATTCTCTTCACCACTGATAGCATTGTACAGCAGATTTTTTGCTTTAGCATTCAAAGTTATGACAGCAGCTTACTCATCAGTGTAGTCATCCAAATCAAGTGGATCCTTGGATACTGTCGCGCCCCCATTTTCCCTTCGCGGGGAAGTCCGGGTTTCGACATTCATGGGGGAAAAACTTGTTTCCTTTTGGGAATTGGGTGTTTGAAGAGTCGCCACCTAACGGATTAAGGTGCGTTAGGGCACCTAGAGCGATTAACTCATGTAAACAGTTTGCATTACCAGAGATTAGGGTAAGGGCTCGAAATAACCTTAAGGGGAAGGTGTTAGGCACCCCTCGAGGTCCACAACGGTGGGTCCTGGCCAAACTTACTTTGTGAATTAGTTAATTATCAAATAGGTAGTCTAAGCACACATATGTAAAAGGAATGAAGACTTTTTAACGGATAAGCAGTCTAAGCACACATATGTAAAAGGAATGAAGACCTTTAACATATAAGCAGTCTAAGCACACATATGTAAAAGGGATAAGGGAGGTCCTAATTTGTTTATCCTATAGGATCATATCCATGCAATGCCTGGTAATCACTCCTCGGTGAGAGGGGTTACACGTTGCATTATTGCACAGGTCATCATATCTTTTTACTACTCATTATCCCACCCCTTAGCGGTTATATAAGAGAGTTTTGATTAACGAACTCTAAGTGTGTTGTTACCCGCCCTTCCTTGTGGTCCCAGAGGAGTTTAGGACCTCTAGACTTAGGCAGTTCTAGACAATCCTAAGGTGTTTAAAGGGCAAAAGTCTAGGCGACAACAAATAACACATAGGACTGTCAATTAAGGAAGCAGATAAAAGGCTCATATTTACCTCCACATACACATAGGCAAATAAGCAGCGCGTCTCAAACAACTGATTTAAAGAAATTTAGAAAGCTTAGGAACATGATATCTAGATGAACATTACAGAATATAACATGCAGCGTTTGGTTTAAGGGAAGTGGCAGAATCCTATCCAGCTTGCCTACTGGTTTTCTAAATCTATTAGACTTAAGCAGTTTATAAACAATCAGAACATAGTTTTCAGTTTTATACAAGGACATTAATCACCTAAGGCTTGCCTAGGCGTGGAACTATATGCAATCACAGTTACAGGAGCTGTTTAAACAATTTGGAATTATTCAACCTATAGGCATGCTGATCTAGGTGATACAGATTATAACAGGTGATTTATATCAGAATATGACACCTATGTATGAGGCCGTTTTTAAACCTTTTCATGAACAATTATTGAGTCGAAATAGACAGGATCCAAAATAGATGCAAACAGAGTCCTAAGAACGGGATATCTAGTGCACGCAGGGATGACTGTGTTTATTAGGCAGGATTATTTAGCAGCAGGATTTCTGAGTGACAGTACTGATGCAGAACCAGGAATTGAGTAGTGATCTATAACATGCAATATGCTGAAGCCGTAAACGTGAATACCCTAAAAACAGGATGTCTAGTGCACGGATTTGGCATGGCTTGAATGCAAATAGACACAGCAATCCTAGAACACAATTTCTAATGCAGATTTGCATAATGTAAAGCCTAAAACATGATTTCTACCCAGCTTTAACCACAAGATCATATAGTTACACTCCCTTTTCACTAGTTACCCCAATATCTGTTTACAAATG